GCTAAACCCACCAATCACAGACGAGGAATCAACCGCTACGCTCACTTAGACCGCTACTTCTACTTAGGCCGCTACATGTGTTTAGGCTGCTACGAGTACTTAGGCCGCTACGTGTACTTAGGGCACTCCATGTACTTAGGCCGCTGCATGTACTTAATTAGGCCGCTGCATGTACTTAGGCCGCTGCATGTACTTAGGCCGCTGCATGTACTTAGGCCGCTGCGTGTACTTAGGCCGCTACGTGTATTTAATTAGATCGTTACGTGTATTTAATTAGGTCGTTACGTGTACTTAATTAGATCACTACGTGTACTTAACACGTTGACTACGTATTGGTACATATGCGTACCACGAAATGTATTTCTCCAGGAGGTAGTGGTACATAATTCAGGTTGCCTAAAATCGGCCAAATCCGAGAACAAAAAAGGCCAAAAAAGGCCGATAATTCAATGTATACTAGTTTATTTGTAGGTTCCGCTATAAAAATTCCGTTTATTTTCTTTTTGCAGTATTTAAAATTTAATTAGGAAGTACCCCAATCATAAATTTTAGCCGGCCAACGCAATTGAGAAAAACTAATTCACGGAATTTGTCCGGAAAAAATGACCGTCTGTCAACCCTGCTTAAAAAAAGTACATAAAATGAAATAATTGTACAAGATGAAGCAATCGTAGTCAACGTGTTAAGCTAGTTTTGATAGTACCCGCAGGTGAGCAGTACAGGTATAGGCAGGACCGGCTGTTATGGCACGAGCTGGTCATTCCCGCGCTTATGTACGGCACAGCGCTGGTCTTGGCAGGCGCAAAGGACGTCTACTTCCCCACAAATTAAAAACTCAATCTTACGTTTTACGGTGCTTGAACCTGTTATCTAGTCCGATAATGCATGTATGTTTAGGATCATCTTGTTTAAATTGGTTAATATTACCGTTGTTTAGAGAGGAAAGATGGCTAGAGAATAATACGATCAAACCTTCATCTTTCTACAAATTTCCATGGCTAAAGCGCAATACGTTTAAGAAAGTATTGATGATTCGTTTATCGAATTGTTGAAAAATAAATCTCTTTTCGATAAAAAATTATTTCCACTTCAAATCTTTGAAATATTTCTTATGAAGAATGCCTATTATTATGGACAATTATGGCAATAATTATAGCAAGCAAGCTTCCAGTAAAATGATTCTCACCCCATGAGTCACCGATCACAACTTATTCCATTCTCTACCATTCAGGACGCGCGCTCTGGAACTGATACAATTCGCAAAGCTACTTCAATCCTTAAGACAACTGAAGCCACTTGAATAGAGGATGCAATAGTTAATCTTCCAATGGCGTTTGGCAAACAAATACTGGAATATAGGACAATGCTCTCGTCTCCAGCTGACACGACTGGCTCGAATATAGGCTGTAGATTGCAACGTTCCGGATTCTCGTAGGCCGCCTCAATAATCTGCCATTCAATAACAAGTAAAGGATTTTAGTTTATTTATTATATACATCGATTTTTTGATTTTAACTGGGATTCATGTCTATATATAGGTGTGATTTTAATTATGATTTAGCTCCTTGTGTGATTTTGATTAAAATTGTGTCTATGAGTTATTTTGATTAGGATTTATGTTGATGTGTGCTTATAATCAGTATGCAAGTCGCATGGGCGATTCTCATTAATTTTAATATTCCTATTGTGTGGGTAATTTTTAAATTATAATCTCGATCCTGATTGGTTTATCAGATGACTCGAAATTGACTGAAAAATCTTTAGGATTTTTGTATTTGAATAGCCATGATTAGGCTGAACGGTACAGAACTGAATGATAGGGGCACATTAAAATGAGAGGGCCGATAATATATGATAATAATTTAATAATTGATTAATCGATTGTGAATAATCGATTTTTTATTTACTGTTTCTTTGAAAGTTCCTCCTATATTATTCAGAATTGATTTCAGAACAAATTCTCCATGAGTTAATTAATTTCAAATTTGTTCTTAAGGAGAGAATTTACTCAAAAAATAGAATTCTCCTTAATCCTCTCTTTTCCTTCGTGTCCAACCAGTATATTGTGCTGTGAAATTTCAATTCTCAGTTAAGTTTTCAAAATTATTTTCTGCAATTAAGCACTTCTGCCCTGTGAAAAAATTTTGCTAAGATTATCTATTTTTCACTCATTTCAACTTGTTGCGTGACTGATCTCTTGAAAACTGTAGGTTCAACGAAAAATGAATATTAAAATTCTCTCTAATTCCGTCGCTAACTGTAAAAATATCTGAAATCGTTTTGCAGTCCACGTAGAGAATTTCTTCACTAAGATGTGCGTTATTGAATTTCGCGCCCTGCGAGGCATCAACTATCCAGCTCAACAATAAATTTCCCGTAAATATGGCAATGCCGTGGCATTTTCCAGGCAAGCCTCGCCGGCAAGACGCTACAGCCTTACAAAAGCGAGCACCAATTAGATAGCGCAAGTTGACAGTCTGTGTCGGCTGATATGACTGTCGAGATCCAACGCTAATCTTTAATGTCAATCATGCCGTTGGTGGCATCATTATATCAAATTATAGCAACGAGTCGCGATGGTTAGATTCATGGTATGCTACGAAATGATTTTATTAAAGTGGAGGGATGTTAAAAAGTACGGATGTTATTGAAGTACGGCGGAGGGATGTTGGAGACATGCCAAAAAAACGGTTAGTTATTAAAAATTTCATTCCAAGCTGTTACTGAGAAATGTTCTGTTACTATGAATAATTCTGGCTGAGAAATTTTATGCTTTCTTTCTAAATAGCAGAGCCCATGGGATATATGTGATAAAAATGTGCTGCGATGGCTGGAATGAGTTTTTTCCTGAAAAACTAGTCGACACAACTTAAATTTTCCTGTTTAAATTGGAACCGTCTCAGTTATCAAGCTCTGTTATCAAAGCCATTGATTTTGCGATTAAAATTGACGAAACAATAATTGTAAATGCAAACGTTTTTACTGAAAATATTGAACTGAAATTAGATATCGATATTTATATTCGTACTTCATCCACCATCCACAACTAGATTCATATGGATCATATCATGCAATTGCAATACAAATAATACTTATTTCACACAAAATAATACCATAGTATTATTTATCTTCATAAGCTCGTCCTGCTTCTGTTTGCAGTTCAAGGAACCATTTTAGCCTGTACGAAGCAGTATTAATAGTGCTCGGATGACACTCTTGTATTAAATGCTAAAAATTCACATCAATTTGGTGGTGAATATTAATGCAGAGCAAGAAACAACATTATAGTGGGAGGCTATTTTCGAACATTTTTATAATAACTCTAGTTCTTGTTCATTGCCTTGAACCAGACGTAGCTGATCAAATAATGAATCATAGACATTGGCTGACTCATATTGATCGTTGTGGATGTTATAATGGTTCTTCTGGATTTTGGTTATTGTTTCATCGCCGATTGTCTTGCTTGGGGAATCTTATATTTCCGTTGCGTAATCTTATATTTCCAGTTCTCTTTATCTACTGACACTAGTACTCGAAAAAGTGGAGAAATCCCCAAAGAAACAGCTTAATCATCGACTTTATCTAAATGATCATTTTCAAATCTTAAATCAGGACCAAAACCACACGAACATTTTATATTATTTATATATATATAACTAAATACTTTTGCAACATGCCTAACATTTTACTGAACCATAATGATTACAAATTTAACTTCCATAATGGTTAAAAATTTAACGTCCATACGATGGCCCCAGACATCGTCTGACACACGAACAACTATAATCTCGTGACGCTAGCCAAGTCTTTTACAATGCATGGTCATGCTCTCGAGTCGATCTTGTTGCTGAGCGAGGGCTGTGAAGAGGATCTTTCTGGTTCTGGGGTTACTTAAAAAAACTAAGGTCAACCTTGAGAGCTTTCCATTCTGGAAACGTGCTCGCTATACGCGACAACATCATTATTTATAAAGGTAAGAGGCAGGGTATATGTTTACATAATTATCGGTGGCCGCATCTGCGTCGTAGTCGACTATTAGTTTCTCACAATATTCCTATTATTAATTGAATTTCGTACGCGAATTTTCTGCGGTATCAAATTGTTGCAAGTCGTTTTTCTTGATTATACTATTCGCTATTCTATTTCCAGACGTAATATTGGAGGAGGGTGCCATATTGTTGTCATATCTTCTTCTTGATCACACTATTCCTTATATTCCTTATTAGATTTTCAGTCGTAATATGGGAGGAGGATGTCATATTTTTGCCATATGCTCTTCTGAATCCCACTATTTCTTATTGTATCTCTAGGCGTAATATAGGAGGAGGGTGTCATATTGTTGCCATATGTTCTGCTTGATCACGCTATTCATTTTTGGATTTCATTGTTGAAGTGTTCGTGGATTTGAATTTTTCTAGCGCTGATCTCCTAATATGTGTGGCAATTTTAGCACTGCTGATGCAGAGGTTATCTGTTTTAATTCAGCCGAAAGCACTGATCTCAATTTTAATTTCCGTGTATTTTCGTCCGATAAATAATAATTTTGAGTTATTGTGCTCGTCCCGATTGTAATTTATGAATCTCTCTTGAAATTAATTTATAGTTTTTGACACTTGGGGCAAAAATTTAAGAACACAAGTATTGATCCATCATTAGTGACCGTTTGCCTACAGATCCTAAACTTCTGTGTGATTATAACGGAGAGCTATCAATATTTGCCTATATTTTTTAAATATATATTTTTATTTGAACATTTTTATAACACTAAACGGCTTTATTCGACATCCTATAAAGCTTATAATGTTGTTATTATATACATAAGAAAATAAGCATTTGGTATGTTTGTTACGATAGTTTATTGCAGGGTGTTTTTTATCATGACATTAAATGTTTTTTTTAAATACGCTAGATGTATATTTCTCTATTATTAAAAGTGAAAACTTTTACATTATTGTTTAGAATATTTAGATATTCTAGTGCAGTAAATTTGTGGTAAATAAGTAAGTGTCTTCATTATACATAACCCTTACATTCATACCTGAAAATTATTGTGCAGAAAAATTACCGAGCTGAAAGACCTGAAACATTTAATTGAAATGTGCAAATTGAACGTACTCCTGGAAGTGAGCGCAAAATGTAATTTAGTTATGAAATGAAACAGCAGCACGATTAGTTAAGCTAGTGGCTCATGGAAGTGCCAGAGAATCTATGTATTAGTGATCAAATTTCAAAGTGCCAGAAAACATGTTGATGCATCTTTGTCACCGTCACAAGTTCTGCATTGAAGATTTTGCCTACAACTTGTTAAATTATTTCTACAGTTTTCTTCTACTCCAATTATCAAGCTGTTTTTCAAAAATAAATTTCTTCCTTTCACGTCAACACAAATTGGCAATTATTGATCCCTCTTGCGTGCCGACCTCTAAGCTGTCTACTAGGAGGTCGCTGACATGTGCATGTGTGATCCATGACATCTTCTGTCCTGCCGAACAAAAAGATCCTAATACACCATCAATTAGATTTCCGGCCCTAAAATCTTTCATGTATTCTTTCCTTCCTGCATGTCTTATATTTCCGCAATCACTTTTCTCATTTCGGTACCCATATATGTTATCACCTCAGCTCTCTTTCCCGACTCTCTTCCCTTCTGCAATTCTTCCCTCTTTACTTTTGGCATCCAAATCACTGCCATTAACGCACGTCCGTCATCGGTGCTCTTTTTGGCACAAACATTCTTCAAGACGACCAAGATATTCCCCAAGTCTCGCTTCTTTATTACTCATGAGCCTGATTTTATCGCGCGATGCGGCCGTGGCTAGCGGGCTAACCGCGGACTCCGAAGCAGCGGCTAATGAGATTCTGGCGAGGTACCCAGGCCAGGATGACTACATAAGTAAGTTATGACCAATTTCACTACTCTCAATTTTATCCCTTTGTTATTCCTGCTGTGCGAGGTAAGTTATGACTCTCAGTATTTACATTTGCAACTCGGATCATAGTGAAATAAGATATATTATACATGCTATCGTGATCTTGCAGGTCAGGATTCTCCAATCTCCATATTCCGAACAGGATTTGCGAAACTCCATTCTCAGGTAATGGCCACATAGGTCGTATTAATCCAAAATAATTGCGAGAGGATCCAGAAGAACGAAATGCATGCAACGATTCTAAAAACATTGTTTTCTTTTCTGCAGGATAATTTGTAGTATATTGCTATTGATCAACGGCTGTAAAAAATAGCTTAAGGACAATTCTCACATTCTTCTGCTACGCCAAGGAAATGCTAGAAACTTTATTTAGATAAAGATCATAATGAAATAGATCTGTTAGCTTTGGTCGCTTAAAGCGCTGTTAAGGCGACCACGCCTTCATTTATTCAGTTGTATTTCGTGCTGATTGCTCTGTCACTGAAGCCTGAAATACGACTGAGCTCTACATGCATTCGTTAGACACGCTCCGAGCAGCGTAGCATCTCCACCCTCTGCAAAGTTCGGCCAAACTCTAAATGCGTGCAACATTGCTGGCTAATTCGTGATCAAGGAACTATTTCTAATAATTAATTAATGCAAAAGTAAAACCGAAGGTATAATTTGGCAAAGGCAACACCTAATTTTAATATCTTATCTTAATGCATGCATGAAAGATGACATGCATGACAGATGACATATATCTTTGAAAAAATTGAATAGGTTTGTTTTAAATACTTTTGGTCCGATGTCATATGAGAGAAAATCGTATTAGTGTGATGCGGTTGGGCTTTTTCCTACCCTTCAACTGAATAAATACTATTTATATTTGTAGACACTTGCAAAATTTGCCCATGGAGATCAAGAAATAACTTTCTATTTCATTTTGAGTCAAAAATTCTGACCAGCGAGAGAGAATGAGAAATATATCTTTCAAAACCATGTATGTTTTCTCAGCTTTCAAACGCAAACTTTTATCTTAACATCCACGACTTGAAGCAAAAATGCCTCACGTTTCTAGAGTCTCCGTCTCAGTTCACATCGCACAGAATCGTCATGACGTTCACTTGCTCAGTTTCTTGTATACGATAAAAAATGTATGAACATAAAGATGCAGTGAGACTTATTTAGCTCTCAGCGCGATCTCTATCTCTCTGGCGCAGATTTTAATTTATAATTCAAAGGCCATTTTCGGTCACGAAATGAGCTCGTGAACTAATTTTCCATCAACGATATATCCTCATTTTGCATTTAAATTATTCTTAATAATTCAGAAAATATTTGTCTGCCTTTTATCGGGTTTCTGAATAATGATGGATATTGTTCTCAGATCAATATATCAAAGGCGAGGTTAGATATACCCGCTTTACTTTTTTACACTAGACATCTTGTCAGAATCATGCATACTTTATGCCACTAATTTCCTGAGTATATTCTGGAGTAACTTTTCAGAACTAGAAACACCAAAAAATATCATGGTACTTTCTGATATATCATTTTAAATCGTGAATTAAGTTCGGGTTCTCAGATTCACAAACTGTTTTCTAAGCATAAAAATTACTGAATATGTCTAGTATAAGAGAACAAAGTTTATTCAAAAATTTCTAATTTCGAAATGCTAAACTTTTTTCACGTCAGTTTTTCGCTCCAAGATTCACGATTTTTAATTCATCGAGTGGTCATGGCTACGATGAAGCCACATTGAAGTCAATTTTAGAAAAGGAGCGAAAAATTATTTTAAATTTGCAATAACTTTTCGTCAATAGTTGATTCTATTCTCGAACTTCACTCTTTCTTTCTCCAGGTTATATATGGTGTAATAGAATTTTTACTATTTTTACTATATATCATAGTATTACTTCCCTTGTGAAATCTTATAAAATTAACTAGTATTTATTCTGATTATTAAAGTTTGGTTTAACGCTCAGCTCGTTTTACTTATATACACTTCGTCTTACTTAATACATTTATACACTTACTTATACTTATATACTCAACTCGTTGGTAACTTCGACAAAAGCTCAAACATTGATTAGTTCAAATATATTTTTATTGGCATTTAGTGTAAAAGAAACGAGTGTCATCAAGGATGTCATCACAATATCGTAATTTTAAGCTAAATCGATGGCATTTTAAACGTCAATTTTCATCGATTAGTCGCATGAAATGAATTTGTGTCTAAAATTTTATTAACGCTACCAATCAATACATTAATCTTAATGACACAGTTCAAAATGTTTATTGAAAAAACGTTGTTAAAAATTAGTATGCACTGACTAGTAATCTCCTGATTAAATTTCTAGTGCAGTTTCATTATTCAGTCATTTTCTGCCGCATTGCAGGGCAGCTACCGCAGAAAGCTTCCTCTGGATTTTAACTAAGCTGAAAAGGAATGATGCTTTTCATAGTTAATCGAGCTCGTTGGGAGAGATTATAGAGCGAGAACTAGAGGTCATAGTACGCAATGAACATTATCTTTATATCTACAGAACCGTGCGCTGTAGATAGGAAATCTTGGCTGAAAATCTCAGCATGCTTAAGAGCAGCAGATTCTCGGGTGATGACTGCATTGTGTCGATTAATTAGCCTGTTTTGATCATCAGTTGGAGCCGCGAACTTCTGGGATGTTATGATAGCTTCCAATTATTTATTGATCGTACGTATTTTACTTGACTGCCAGCGGATGCTTTACTTAACGATCAGGACACTTTAACATACTCTAATATACACTCTCTATTTATATTCTCTATATACTATCTAGGATGATTTGATACATTCTATATACTTAAGGTGTAACCATCATTAAAAACTGCTTCAGATTTCTATGTCATTCAGCAGTTGCGATAAAACTATCCCAGCCATCAGTTGTTATGGACACGATATTGGTACTACTGATCTGACATAGTCTTGGATTGAAACAAGTCAATCTGGCCAATATTTTATGCCGATACTCATGATGAAGTAAATCAAAAATATTATCAAGTTAGTAACACTGCATTGGCAGATTGATTGAATCTTTAACTACTGACATTGTCATAAACAATGGCCATGATAGGATTCGCTCGAAAAGACATAAATAAACAAGAAATTACCTAAAATGATTTCTGCTCTTAAGGGCCAGATCAGTTAATGTTTATCGTAATGCTCTCACTATTTATCACCTTCCATCTTGGTAACTTTCAAGCCGTGACGCCTAACTCGTCGACTGATGGCTTAGAAAGACTTAGCGATCTAAGGCCTCTGTTAGTAACGATCAGCGAATGGCTCCTTAGAGGCCTTATTGGCTTAATAAGACACAGTCTCTGTAGTCTTCAGGTGGCTTCGGCGTGTTCTCGCTAATTATGTTCCCTAAGCAGACTAAGCATTGAGCGAGGCCTGCTTTGATCTGCAGTCGAGGTAATCGCTACGCTGCAGTGAAGGACTTCCCAACTCTGAGAACGCATCCAGTTTCTGATCATTTTTGCTCCTCAATAATAAACTTAATATTTTCACGATATAAATATTATTGACAAACTAGGGTTTATTTCTCATCGGAATAGAAGAAACTTTAACTTGTTCTCAAAGTTATTCAAAAATGGACTGACATTAATCGCTTTTTGGGACGTTGTTGCAAGCTCAATTCCTTACCTTGCACGCTCTAATTGAGTTCCAATTTGAGCTGAGATGGAATAATATTATTTCCTTGGCCTAATTTCTGTTCGCCAAAAACTAGTAACTAATTGAAATTGGAACTTGCTCAAAATTCTTCCTTGATTAAAGGGTTATGTCGTTCGTAAAGTGAAGTTAAGGGAAACAATTCTTTGAATATTTCGATTAAACTTTAATTACAGAACTTGGTATCAAATTGATTGCCTTCTGTAAAATGCCTGCATCATGACGTTACTTACTTACTCTCTATTACGTAGATGTTTATAGTTGCGTAGATGTTCAGTATATGAGCAGTGCTATTTGAAATTACAGCTCGTGCTGATGGTGCCATTACAGCCATGGTGCTAATTTCAGAGCTCGTGCTAACTGAATACCTTTTTGCCAAGGTGCTAATTTCAAAGCAGCTACATTTACAGCCCGTGCTGATTATCTCTTTGCCTAGGCGCTAATTTCAGAGCAACGCTATTTACAGCCCGTGCTGCTTACCTCATTGTCAATGCGCTAATTTCAGAGCAACGCTATTTACAGCCCGTGCTGCTTACCTCATTGTCAATGCGCTAATTTCAGAGCAACGCTATTTACAGCCCGTGCTGATTATCTCTTTGCCAAGGCGCTAATTTCAGAGCAACGCTATTTACAGCCCGTGCTGCTTACCTCATTGTCAATGCGCTAATTTCAGAGCAACGCTATTTACAGCCCTGCTGATTATCTCTTTGCCAAGGCGCTAATTTCAGAGCAACGCTATTTACAGCCCGTGCTGATTATCTCTTTGCCAAGGCGCTAATTTCAGAGCACCGCCATATACAGCCCGTGCTGATTATCTCTTTGCCAAGGTGCTAATTTCAGAGCAACGCCATATACAGCCCGTGCTGATTATCTCTTTGCCTAAGTGCTAATTTCAGAGCAGCACTATTTACAGCCCATACATTCTGATGACCTCCTTGCCATGGCGCTAATTTCAGAGCGGTGCTGTTAATAGCTCGAGTTAACTGAGTACTTTATGCTGAGACACTAATTTCGGAGTGGTGGGTGCCTCTAGATCACCCAATTAGACGTAAATTTTGTACTTTTTTTTACCACTTTCAGTTATTTAGGCGTATAACTAGAGGCAATTAGCTGTAAATTTCTATTATTTTCACATGCATCTCCACCTCTGAATCATTTTTCTTATACTGAGCATTTTCAAACTGAATGAGCTCAGAAAAAAATTAGCTTGGTTCATTATATTGGTGGCTTGTCATGATTTGTTTATACATGACGAGCATAATCAAGCGTT